CGTCAGTACTCTCCTATCGTACCAACCGAGTTGAAGTAAACCGTCGACCGTTGGGGACCCCATCCCCTCCCCAACATTCAGCATACGGTCCCAGCCGAAACGCCAAAAGGGCTGGTTTGCTTACCTCGCATCACTCAGGACGGAAAGCTTGGCTTCGATAGAATTTGATCAGGATTTGACAACGGAACATGTGCGTGCTAAGCCACGCCACCTGCCCTCCCACCACTTCTCAATCCTCACATTCAGAAGTGCTGAAATCCTGACACCATTCTTATGCCCTCAAACAAGAAACTCAAGCATCCAAACGTAGCTAAGGCCTAGAAGAAAGAATACATAAGAAAGTTTCTGGAAAAGTGTATGTGCTCAATCTGGTTTCTTTTATCTACTCTTGCAAGGCTGTTATTTCTTATTTCATGGAGAGAGATTCAGACGTTATATCCACGTCGCATCAAGTGACTTTAGAGCCGATTCCCTTCCCTCGTATACTGTAGGCATACTGTAGGTAAGTTTCAACAAATAACGACGCCTAATTCGAGTACCGTAAGTGCACGAAAAACTGGAGTAAAGCTTCGACGACAGATCAAACTGCTTTCATACTTTGCGCCGGTGCGGTCCGTGCGGACGGTGCGGAGAGAGTGAAGAGCGTCAATACGCGCACTGGCGCATGACGCGTACTTGGCGTACAGTCGGTAGCTTCCGATCGATAATTTCAGTCTCAATATGTTTTCCTCTTTGTTTTTTGATGTTTTGTGTGCCGTCTTGCTTTCATTCGTGTTTTTTTTGGCTTAGACTTCTTTTTGTCCTAATCAATGTTTCAGTTGCCCCTGAAAGAGTGGCGTTATTCACGTACGCCCCGTGAGGCCATCGAGCAAAGACACTATTTTATACAAAAAAGAAAAATTTCAAGCAAAAAAGAACACGAAGGAAATAAGACAGCACACAAAACATTAAAGAATGGAAAGATTACATCGAAATTGAAACTATTGATCGGCATCGCAGCTACCGATTGCAGGCCAAGTAGCGTGCATGCGCCATTGCGCGTGTTGACGCTCTTCACTCTCTTTGCGTGGACCGCAACAGCGCACAGTATGAAAGCAGCGTTACTTACTTGGTAAACAAATGATGAAGCTTCAGGAACCTAAGCGAATCCCTTCCGAATGCAGCGGTTTCTATCAGAAGATCCTTGACTATTTAGCTATTTAGCTCGTCCACGATCATCAACCATCTACATACATGCTTTGAAGACTCTGAGTTCATGCAAAAATTTACACAAATAAAACTTAGCATTTTCCAGCGAAAGTTTGTTCATATACAAATAATAAAGAAATATTGCAAAGGTCGGAAAACTTAGTTGCTACACAAGACAGTTCTTTATTTCACGGATAATCGACATATTATGTAGTGATTTACAGCTCAAACAAGAGACGATTTCTTTCAATATCACTTGTAATTACATGGGACATCACTGGGGTTGAGGGCAAGTGAAGAAGAAGCGAAAGAGGATTCGAGGCCAGGCAGCACACCCAGCGAGCTAACAACTCGATCACGATAGAATTCGCGGATTGATGTGGTCAACTGTTTCTTCCACTTGGTCCTGAAATAGTACTTCAAGATTCTTCTTAGCAAGACGAGCAGAATACCGTACCTTCGGTTCTGGAACCATGTCTTGATCTGGGTCTCGGTCAGATTCAGACTGCGTGATAGCTGAATCCTTTTCTGTACACTGAGGTATTTGTCACACTGAAATCAGCACTTCACTCCGTACTATAGAAAAAATAATAAACAAATAAATAAATATGCCATTTCGTCTGCGAGGCAGAAATAACGGGTTTTTCTTCAGCAATTAAAACATCTTAAGAGTGCTTCAAGGAAAATCCGCAATATATTAGTATGGAACTATTGGGATTCAAATATGAGACGTGTTTTGTAGCCCATTAGCGAAGAGTGCCTGTGAGGGACGACACGGTCGATGAGTTACCGGAGTTGATCTGCTCTGAATCACACAAGCTGCAGCCTTTTACCGTAGCTTTACTTAGTTTAACAGTTTGGGGTGACAGGTGAGCCATCCAGTTCACATCCCTAAGGGTTACTCTTCTAGTTCCAATAAATCGCCTTACAATTAGTAGCTTACGAGTGGCTTCCTGAGCCTGTTGAGTGACTTCTGTAGGTTGAAGTAGTGTTTAGACGGGCACTTTCACAAATGCCTTTTCTACTTCGGCGAGGCTTCGAAGAAGGAGCTAACGCCGAAAGGTCAGCCGAATCAACCGGTATTGACAATCCCGATCTAAATTTATCTGACATATTTACCGGAAAGAAATGCCAAATTCACTGAGAGCCGAACGTGACCGCTAATCTGTGGCAGATGGGCCCTCGGCGTCGATCAATCCTTTTCTAGATGCGCCGTGCACTCGACTAACGTTCACTCGCATCTGCAGTTTGAGTACGTATTACCCCTTTACAATTTCCTTTGTGACCAGGCCACATACAAGTCAACGCGATAATCCTCCTACTCTAAACCCAGCTCCACAATTCGAGAGTTAAAAACTTAGCTTAATGTGATTATTGGCCCAGGGTGTGATAAAGGAACCGCGCCGCTGATCTCTGCGCCACCTCCGCTTGGTCAAGGAATTTTCTTTTGATTTGATAGCGTTCATTATTGACCCAGACCCACTATGCAGACTTGCTGCTTCCATAGAGGACTAATTGGGCTCACCTGAAACTCGCACTCCAACTTCTCCAGTTGTTGTGATGTGTAAGCCTGACGAGGTTTACGATCGCCAAGAGCTTTTCGCGATCTTCGGTAGTCGTGCTTCCGGGCTATAACACCGGTATTTTCAGCGACAGTATAATTATTCGCACTAGCAACGTACCTCCCAAGCCCAACATCATCTGCAGTTCAACCAATGACGGAGTTTTGATGTTGTGTGCAATTGCGTACATTGCAAGCTGACTTGAGGCCATGCTATTCCATTGTGGTACCTCTGTAAAGGGCTTTATTAACGAAATGTATAAAATATTCCTCGGAATTCCTCTGTTCTCTGCTGACCGCGTGTTTGAGAGGAGGGGTCAACTTGTTCGAAGCAGTCGTTTCTCCTTTGGATCAGCTTTGCACTCGATTTTCCGAAGAGATTTGGGCTCA